GTATGTAGTAAGGACTTCTATGGTTGGGGGAGATTGTGTTTGATATTTTTCTATTGACCTGTATGAAGGTCACATGACCTCTTACAAAATCTGCGGCGCTCGGCCGCCGTAAAGGATACATCTCCATGATTAGGCTGAGCGTTTTCCTAGTCTCAAAGGCGTCAAGCAGCAGAGTGATCCGCTCGTGCGACACTTCCGACAAGATGTCGCGCTCGCGGTACGCCTGCTCCCGGGTCTTGCTCCTCAGCGGGATGAATTTGGCGGCGCACGTCACGCCGTTTCCTTTGTGCACGACGCGTTTCACGAAGCCAAAGGACCCTCTAAAAAAAAATTTAAAGTAGAAATTGTAACTTGACGTAAAGTGAGCATATTTCCTCCTCCTCCAGTCCATCGTCATTCATGTCAGCTGATTAAAGACTATCTATGGACCAAACTTTTTTCTTCTTCTTCTGGATGGAGTAGGGATTGATAGGGGTTGAAGCCCAAGATGGGTTTAATTTGTTTTTTAAAAGCTGCCTCATGAGCCTAAAACATAAAAAAGAACCCAAAAAAACTCACCTATCCTATCCTATCCGACGCAGTAACTCCTATTCACCACAAGAGGCCCTCGGTCTTCCAGGTTTAATGACGCCCAGAGTCAGTGTTTCTTTTCAGATTGTCCGTATTCTGTTGCCGAGATTTCCCATCACCAGGGCCGCATTTCCCACAAGGCCAATCAAGGCCGGGCCTCAGGGCAGCAGGGAGTAGAAGGGCAGCAGGGGTGTGGAACTACTACCTCCCGATGCCCGGGACATGCGGGATCACTTCCTGTCCCGGAGGATCAAAAGGAAGTGAGGAGAAATCTATATAAAGTAATTCACTTCTTAGAAACCTGTCATGGAAACAGGTGTTCCCAATGGAAGAGATTCCCTCTATTGCTCTTCCAGTGACGACAATATAAACTTGTATTTCCTATAAAGAGGGTGAATCCCCCCCTGCGGGGACACAGACAGCTAATAAAGAATTTAAAGCTTAGACATACTATTGTTTTTTTATTGTTCATAATCTAACATGTTTTAGGGGCCAACCCCCCCCCCCCCCCCACTCCAGGG